TACCTATCCCTTTTGAGGACTGGGATAGAGAGAAACTGCACTTGGTGAGTCTGGGTGAGTAATATATGCTGCAGATACATAATTTCTATTATTGAATAAGAAAACACAAGTGTAATTGTTTTCAACAGAACTTTCAAAGAAGACTAAAATGCCCTGAATACATTGTGAGTTGAGATATTTCACATTCATAGTTCTTGTACTTCTTAGTGTCTACTTCCCTTGTGATTCATCCAAACATTGCACCATTAAAAAGACAAGGGACAAGAAAATCTCAATATGACTTCTGCAAACTATCAATGTGCATCTTTCTGGTTGAATTCTTTTGACAAAGTTACTCATGGTGAATGAAGGTACCGTGCTGTACATTGCACTCCTTCATTTTCCTACATGTTTTGACAAGGTGCCACAAAACAAGGTGCAACATTTTACTGCAGAATCAAAGTAGATCTATCAAGAGGATAGATTCCAATTGACAGAACATTAATAGTAACAGTTCCACAAGAAGATTCATCATCAGTGGTGTTCAACAAGCATTAGTACTCTTCATTAACATTCATTAATGTTCTGCATGAAGGCTTTAGGAAATTGTCTTCAAATTTCAGACTAAAGATATGTGCAGTTGTTAGAACCAATTAATGACATAAAGGGCTTCAATCACATCTAGATGTGATGGGCCCTCGTCTGTCAAATAAGGATATATGCATGGTAATGCATGTGGGTAAGGACAGTGCCAAGAATGTGAATGCAGGGTTATAAACTGAAGTCTATTGAATAGGAAAAAAAATGTAAGTGCTTTTATACATGAATATCTAAATATTCCTGACCAGCACTTCAAGCTGATAGCATAAGGTAGAGGAGTATTAGGATGCATTTTTAAAAAAATTATTCACCCTTGCAATGTGGGTATCGCTGGCTGGCCAGCATTTACTGCCTGCCCCTAGCTACCCTTGAGAAGTGGTGGTGAGCTGTCTTCATGAACCGTTGCAGTTCACATGCTATAGGGGTTGACTCACAGTGCCATTAGGGAGGGAATTCCTGGATTTTCACCCAGTGTGTATGGTAAGTATGGAATTGCATAGCTATTGTATTGTATTGCTAGTGTAAAGAAAGTGTTCGTCATCCTCAATGTTTGCTACTGATATGGCAAAGTATCTCCAAAGCTGCTGAGACCTGGCTTTGATTTTGCAGATCGAAATCAAGTCCTAACTACAATTTCAATTCAATTCTGGTCTAAGACAAAAAGCCACCATGTCCTTCCCCTCAGGTGCTGGCCTTACCAATGAAGTTTATGACCCAAGGATGAATAGAAAAGACAATCAGTTGAAGGTCTAGGACTAGCAAAGTGCATTTTAGATTAGGTTTGAAATCCTTTACTGTAAGATCAGGAGAAACAGGAATACAGTTCCTTAGTTGCAACTTACTATCTTGATGGTAAGCTTCCTTAAGATGCAACCTGGTGGACTCCTGGCCAAGTTTCCACTGCTAACCAATAGCCAGTTGTTGTTATGGTGGGCGTGCAGCTAACTGGCAGCTAGCAAATAGGTTCTTAGATTTAAAACTGAGTCTAAACTACCACATTGATCTGCCTGGGAACTTATTAAGCTTCACCCTAGTGTCTTACTGGTAGTGGGAAGCTGAATGTTAGTGTGGAATTGGATGTGAAGGATGGAAAAGATTTGCAAGGATGTTGCTGGGGTTAAAGGGTTTGAGCTATAGGGTGAGTCAGAATAGGCTGGGCCTATTTTCCCTGCAGTGCTGGAGCTGAGGGGTGACCTTGCAGAGGTTAATAAAGCAATGAAGGGCATGGATAGGATGAAAGCCAAGGTTGTTTTCCAAGGGTAGGGGAGTCCAAAACTAGACAGCATAGGTTTAAGGTGAGAGGGGAAAGATCTGAAAGGAACCTGAGGGGAAACCTTTTCATCCAGAGGGTGGTGTGTGTGTGGAATGAACTGCCAGAGGAAGTGGTACAATACCAACATTTAAAGGGTGTCTGGATGGGTACATGAATAGGAAGGGTTTAGAGGGCTATCGGTCAAATGCTGGCAAATAGCACTAGATTAATTTAGCATGGTTAGCACGGATGAGTTGGACCAAAGGATCTGTACATCTCTATGACTCTATGTGCAATTGCACTTCTAGGCAAATCATTAGTTCATTTCTAACTGAACCGATAAAACCCAATTCAATATATTGAGTTTGGGCCAAAATGTTTACCTGTCTAGGTAGACAAACCATGCCTTCTGTAACACCACTGGGAATTATACGTTTATAAAACATCTGAAATGTGCAAAACCCTCTCGGCTTCACCAAGATGAATTCAAGATGATAAATATATTCCAACCCTAAGAAAGCGATGTGATGAGGAATAACTAAAAAGGTGTGATTTATGGATGAAATTCCAAAGATGGCCCTTAGGTGGCTAAAGGCTAGGTTGCCAATGGTGTGCAAGAGGAAGGGTGAAAAGACCTGAATCAGAGGATCTGGAAGATCTAGGGCGAGAGAATGTGACGGAGGTAACCAGGGATAAAACTCAGTAGAGATCTAAACACAAAATCAGAATTTTAAATTTTAGGTGTCTGGGGGCCATGGACCAGTGTAGGTCAGCAGACACAGCGGGATGACAGGCAAGCAGTCATGGGCAGCAGAGATTTGGATGAGCTGAAGTTTACAAAGATTGGACAACAGGAGAAATGTCCAAGGAGCACTGATATAACGAAAGCCTTTGAGAACCTTGTTGCAGTGGTAGTGTTCCTACCTCTGGGCCAGAAGGTCCAGGTTCAAGTCCCAAATGCCCAGACACGTTGCGATGTGTCTGAACAGGTTGATTAAAAATCTCTGTGATAACAATCATGTGAATGTAGTTGGAAATAGCAGGTGATCTGAGGTGGGGATAGGGGGCAAAGAGATGTACAAAGGTGGATGTGGGCAGTGTTTTTAATGATGATGATATGGCTGGTAGGGTGGAATAAGTTCACCTTTATAGTCAAATAAGATGCTGAGATTGTGAACATTCTGCTGCAGTCTGAGACACAAGATGGTGAAAGAGTGAAGTTATTTGCACGCACAATGGGTTTCTGGCAGAAGTTGCCAATTTCCTGGATAATGGCTAATGGGTAGGCAGTCTAACAATGCAGAAGGAGATTGAGAGGTGGAACTGGCCCCAAGTCTGTAAAAAATGTAGATGAAGAAGAGGGAGAATACAATCATATATCCTTGGGAAACTCAAGAGGTAATTTTGTGAGACTCAAACAGAAGCCATTGCTGGAGGTAGTCTGACCTTGATTAGGTAGGTAAGTAGGTGTGGAACTTTTAATTGTATAAGTCCTGCCTTTCTTTGTTTTACCAAAATGCCATACCTCACATTTATCCAAATTAAACTCCATCAGCCACTCCTCAGCCCATTGATTCAATTGATCAAGATCTATTTGTAATCTTAGTTAACCTTCTTCACTGTCCACTATGCCACCAATTTGGTGTTATCCGCAAACTTACTAACCATGCCATCTACATTCTGATCTAAATCATTCATATAAATGACAAACAAAAGTGGACCCAGCACCGAACCTTGTGGATCACTGTTGGTAACAGGCCTCCAGTTTCTGTGGTGGCTATCCAAATGTGCAGTTCCCTTAGTGCAATTCTCTCACCTTTTCCCGTAACATTGCTTTTTAAAATAACAGTTTAACAATACAATAACATCAGCTTAAGTAAGAAGGTAATGATTCAGTTACACGGAGCATTGGTGAGGCCATATCTGGTGTACTACATATAGCACTGGCCTTATTAATTAAGCATGCAATGCTTTGGAGGCAGAAGGCTTACTTGAAGAATGGCTGGAATAGGAAGATTGCCTTTTAAGGAAAGGCTAGTGTTGTATCCTTTGGAGTTTAGAAGAGTAAGAGCTGACTTGATTCAAATGTAGAAGACCCTGAGGAAACCTAACAGGGTGGATGTGGAAAGGAGGTTTCCTGCAGTGAGAAAATCTAGAGTTGGGGTCTATTTTTAAATATAAGGGTTGGCCCAGAGATAAGGAGAAATACCTTCTCCTAGGGCCATGAATCTTTGAAACGCTCTTCCTCGAAAAGCAGTGGAGGCATAATCTTTGAATACTTTTAAGGAGGAGGTATTAATTCTTGTTAAGCAAAGGAATGAAAGATTATCACGAATAGGCAGGAATGAGGAATTGAGGTTAAAATCAGATCAGTCATGATCGTATTGGACAGCAATGCAGGCTCAAAGGGCTGAGTAGCCTACTCCTGCCCTTGATTTGTCCCTTTGTATAAAAGATCATACAGAGTCTCTGACAACATGATGTCTTTATTCTGAGAAGGCCCACTGTGACTCCATTGTTCAGCAACACCAGCTAAATGAAAGGCTGGATCATGAGAAATCCATCATTATCAGGGTGCACAGTGGTTAGCACTGCTGCCTCCCAGTGCAGGGACCCGGGTTCGATTCCACATTTGATTGAGGACTGTCTGTGTGGAGTTTGTATGCTCTCCCTGTGTCTGTGTGGGTTTCCTCTAGGAGCTGTTGTTTCCTCCCACAGTCCAAAGATGTGTAGGTTAGGCGCAGTGGCCATGCTAAATTACCCTGTAGTGTCCAGGGATAGGTGGGTTAGCCATGCGAAATGTGGGATTATGGGGCAAAGAGAAAAAAAAGGGTGTAAGACTTTGCTCCTTCTGCACCCCAAAGTAAGGCTATATGCCTAACCCCACTCAACTAAGAGGTGTGGGCTGCAAGCATGCAAAGACCTCAAAGCCAGCAGAAACTTGAGGCACTTCTGATGAACGACGACAGACAATTACAGTGAGAGCAAAGTAACTGTTCACTCTCACCTTTTGTTTTGGCCCTGGGATGCCAGTATGACAGCTTTCCACCTGTAAATGAGCAACTGCCTACAATACATTTAGTATTAAACAAGTCCGCAGTCAGTCCAACTTTCAGCTTATGTTATAAAATGTCAATGAACATGTTTGAAAAAAAGCTATAGTTCGATGGGTGGTGCAACTGATTTAATTTCTCATATTTTCTGGTATTTTAAAAGAGCAATGGTGAGCTTTTGGGACATGTACAATTTGGGATCAAACAGAATTTAATTCACATTATGACAACAGTTACAGTTTGCCTGAAGATCTGTTGCTTCCATGTCCATGACCAATAATTTGCTGCATCATATTCCTGGTAAACTGCACATTCATCACAGAGCCAAATCCCTAGTGAAATCATAGAAGCTACTAATTATTATTTATAACAATCTGTGTGTATCATAATTACACAAAGGAAAATATCACACAAACAGCACCCATTGTTTTACTTCAAAATAAAATCAAAAGAGCTGCAGGCATTAGATAATTGTACATCTAAGCACTTACCAGCTAAAAGTCTTCTAGAATTGTCTGAACATTTCTCATAAAATGAATCAGCGTGTCAGTAAACACAGAGCCAAACTGCACACAGCAAAATCCCACAAACAGGACCAAGGTGGATGACCAGAATTTTAAAAAAATAAACTTTTTTGGGTCCAGACCCGAAATGTCAGCTTTCCTGCTCCTCTGATGCTGCTTGGCCGGCAGTGTTCATCCAAGTCTGCACCTTGTTATCTCAAACCTTTTTGGGTGTTTAGTTGAGGGAAGAATGTTGGTCAGCAAAGCTCGGGAACTACACTTCTTCAACATCCATCCAAATTATCAGAAATGGGAAGTGGATATCCCTTAGTCTTTTACACTTTAAATTCTTTAAATTACACAGCCCAGTCTTTTGAGCAGAGTTGTCAGTGTTATCAATGGAACCAATGTGAGGGTCTGTAGGATATGTGATTTAGTTCAGCTCCGGGAATTAAGTTCAATGACTTTTAAAAAATATGTTGTAAATACTTATCAAATAAGATGCAAAAATTATACTTGCTTTTCCTACCCTTCCTTGTCTGAAGTTGCAAGTATCGGATGGAACGCAGATTCACAAGCACCCTAGAGTCAGCAAAGTGGCTATCCTCATCAGTCTGGACATAAATGTCACAAAACACACCATATTGGCACATTTTGTTCATTAAAGCACCCAAACTTGGCAGGCTGCTTTTTGACAAAATATTCCTTAAGTCTAACACAACAGCTGAACCAGATATAGACAGAACTTGATTCATTCAAGATATTGAATCTTGAAGAACAAATTCCACATGAAACAAGACGTGGATGCTTGGCTACGTGGACCTTAGTAAGGCCTTTGATAAGGTCATGCACAAGAGACTGGTCGAGAAGATAACAGCCTATGGGATCCAGAACAATTTGGCGAATTGGAACCAAAACTGGCTTAGTGGCAGGTGGCAGAGAAGGATGGAATCCTGTGTCCATTGTGGTACCGCACAGTTCAGTGGTGGGTCCCTTGCTGCTTGTAGTGTACGTTAGTTATCTAGCCATGAATGTAGAAGGTTAGATCAGTAAGTTTGCAGATCACATGGAAACTAATGGTGTGGTAAATAGTGAGGAAGGAAGTATTTGACTACAGGATAACATAAACTGGTCAGATGGGTACAGCAATGGGAAATGGAATTTAATTCTGCAATGTATAACATACTACATTTTGGGAGGACTAACAGGCAAAAGATTATACGATGAATGGTAGGACTGTGGAAGGTACAGAGGATCAGAGGGATCTCAGTGTGCATGTCCACAGACCCTTGAAGGCTACAGGATAGTTGGATAAGTTGGTCACAACACTGAAATTCACAGGAAATTATGATGGAGCTGTATAAGACATTACTTAGGCCACATCTGGAATACTGTGTGCAGTTCTGGTTGCCACACAATAGGAAGAATGTGATTGCTCTAGACAGGGTGCAGAGGAGATTCACCAGGATGTTTCCTGGGCTGGAGCATTTCTGCTATGAAGAGTGGCTAGATAGGCTGGAATTGTTTTCCTTAGAGCAGAGAAGGCAGAACAGAGGGACCTGATTGAGGTGTACAAACTTGAGGGGTGTAGAAAGATAGAAAGAAACATTTCTCCTTCATCAAAGGAACAATAACCTGGGAGCAAAGATTTAAAGTAAAGGATGTAATGGAGTTTAGAGAGATTTAAGATATTTTTCGTCCAGAATGTGGTAGGTATTTGGACCTGAAACAGTGGCAGAGCTGGGAAACATCACAACATTTAAGAAGTATTTAGATGATCACTTGAAGTGCCATACATACAAGGCTAAGGGCCAAGTGCTGGAAATGGCATTAGAATAGACAGGAGCATCAAGACTTGTATAGACACCAAAGGCTGAGGGCCTATTTCCGTGCTGTAAAACTCAATGACTCTATGATATATCATGTGAAGGGTAATCAAAATTAACACTGAAAACAATCATCATTTGGCTGACCAAAAGGCTGGAAGAAGCTCCTAAGGAAAATCTTCCACCCAATTACAGAAACAGATAGAGAGCACCAAGGGTGACTAGCAGAGCCATGAGTTTCAGCAGCATTGGCAGAGACATTTCTTGCTGATTCTTAGCTGGCAAACGTGTTTTAGTTGGTTTGATGATGCGTTCCCACTGTGTGAAAATGGTTTCCCGAGCTTTTGACCATTTTCCGGGCCCAGTCAATCGAAACTGGTATGGTGAGCAGGGGCCAAACAAGATCTTAAAAGCCAGCTGTGGATCCGTGAAGAGGAGCTCCTTCAGGTTGGGTTTCACACCGATCTGCTCTGCCAATTCATCCATGTAGGGTATGAAATCAACTTGAATAGTGTGCCTTTGGGAGCTGACATACCTTATACAGGAGAGCGAGAAAGAGACACCAACTTTAGAAACAAAATGCTTGAGTTTACCTCAAAGCCCCAATTCCCTGAAGGTCAGTCTCATACTAGGGTATTGTTCCAAAAGTGCTGCCAGCCTTCAATGCAATGGGGATCCGTGCTATGTGATCTTTGGCAGTGTATGTCACAAAGATATCACAGCCAAGCCCAACTCTTATCCTCACTCAGCTGTGCGCATATGTACACATCTTCCACCAAGTGTCAATGGGCAGTGAGCATTTTCCACTAGTTTACATTTCCACCGCTCCTTTGTTTATGATCAACAAGTAACCATTCTGATCGAACCTTTATGGTACAGGCCACAACATTAACACAAAATGATCTTGGTCACAAACAGTAACAAACTCCTGTAGTCATAAGTGTTTTTAAAGATGATGTAATTTTTCAAGACAGGAACAATCAATATTTTCTCAGATATGAAAACTATTAGTTGAGATTCTGTAACATTGGCAATGTTAGCTGTGATTTAGCGAGCTCAAGACAATCGACAACATTTAATATAATGCAATATGCTAAAACACAAGGTTCTTTGAAGCAAGTTCAAAGCACAACAGTTAATTAGACAATGGCATTCAGATATTAGCCATCTTCATTTAAAGTCCTACATTCTCTCCTGTTTTTATATCATTACTAGGAGGACACTTCATGGCTGTAATTGTGGTAAGCCAGAAGAAAACTGAGATTGGCTTAAATCTCAGTCCTTTTCTAGTTGAATGTATTGTGATTTTTCCTGATGCTACTGGGATCAAGTAGTGTAAATGTATGTTATTCAATGGAAAGCATAATGGAGTGTCTTTAAATCTGGTTATTTTAAAGAAAATATTTTTATACTTTATCATCTTCAATCTGAAAGAACAGTTATACAAAATGTGCAAATTGGAGGTGGGCATTAGAATCCTACCAACGAGTCAGAAGTGCTGAGGAATGACATTCATAGGGTCATGGATTTGTACAGCATGGAAACAGACCCTTCAGTCTAACTTGTCCGTGCCGACTAGATATTCTAAGTTAATCCAGTCTCATTTGCCAGCATTTGGCCCTCTAGACCCTTCCTATCCATGTACTCATCTAGATCCCTTCTAAATGTTGCAATTGTACCAGCATACACCACTTCCTCTGGCAGTTCATTTCATATACGCACCACTCTCTATGTGAAAGACTTGACCCTTAGTCCCTTTTAAATCTTTCCCCTATTAACTTAAACCTATGCCCTCTAGTTTTGGACTTCCCTACCCTGGGAAAAAGATGTTGTCTATTTACCCTATCCATGTCCCTCATGATTTTGTAAACCTCTATAAAGTCATCCCTCAGCCTCTAACATTGCAGGAAAAATAGCCCCAGCCTATTCAACCTCTCCGTACAGCTGAAACCCTCCAACCTGGGCAACATCCTTCGGGAATGCATAACTCTGACAAGGTGACACAACATTCCACTGAGAATAAAGCATTTGATAATTAATTGTTCCTCATTGTATGCACACATAAAAGCTGAAAATGATACTTTCAGAAATTGCATTTTCTTTATATTATGCTATTTAAATGGTTTATTATTGTGTTTAATCTCAACATTTGACCCTTGACAGATCTTCTACCCTCATCCAATAATCTAATCTGTTATGATTTAGGCATTTGACAAGTCCAATGGGTTATTTTTCGTTCATGACTTTATTTCATTGTGTTCTATTATGTGACGTTAACAACAAAAAAAGGCAAGGGAAAATAGATATTTCAACAATATTTTGTAAAATAAAATGATAACAGTGAGTGAACATGGTAAATCAAGTGGAATGTCTTCAGTACTGATGTACATAATCAAAGAATTGAAAAGCAAATAGAATACTAACCTTAGTTAGATCACACTTGGTGCCCTACAAAACCATAAGACATAGGAGCAAAAGTAGGCTATTCAGCCCATCAAATTTGCTCTGCATTTCAATGAGGTCATGCCAGATTTTATGATCCATGACTCTACTTTCTTGCCTTTTCTCCATAACCCTTGATTCCCTTACTTACTAAAAATCTGTTCATCTCTACCTTGAATATACTTAAGTGACTCAACCCTTATAGCCCTCTGAGGTCCAGAATTCCACAGATTTATTACCGTCAGAGAAGATTTTCCTCCTCATCTTGGTCCTTACCCTGAGATATGCCCTCTGGTCTTAGACTCTTCCACAAGGGGAAACATCCTTTCAGCATCCATCCTGCCAAGGCCCCTATGAGTCTTATAAGTTTCTATAGGCTGTGCTCTCATTCCTCTAAACTCCGATGAATATAGGTCCAACCTGCTCAACCAGTCCTCACAAGACAATCCCTCTATACCCAGGATCAAACTAGAGAATTTTCTCTGGACTGTTTCCAATGCTAGTATATCTTTCCTTAGACAAGGGGACCAAAACTGTTCACAATATTCCAGTTGTGTTCTCATTAGTACGTTGCATAGTTTGAGCAAGACTTCTCTATTTTTATACCCTATAAAATAAAGACTAAATGTCCATTCAGCTTGCCTATTACCTGCTAAACTTAGACACTAGATTTTTGTCATTCATGGACAAGAATGCCCAAATCCCTGTCCTGCAGCTTTCTGCAGCCTTTGTCTATTGTCTTGTGCTGCTTTATTCTTCCCGCCAAAGTGGATAAGTTCACATTCCCCACGTTATATTCCATCTGTCAAGCTTTTGCCCACTTAATTAACCTGCCTATATTTCTCTGTGGGCTCTTTATGCCATCCTCACCACTTGCCTTCCCAACTATTTTTGTGTCACCTGCAAACTTGGCTATAGTACATTCATTTTCCTCATCCAATATAGATGATAAATATTAGCAGCCCCAGTACCAACATTCCCCTATTGCTGTTGCACCAACTTCCAAGGTCCATGCAAGGCAGTGCCTTGTGGAAGTGGAAGCCATTCAGTGGCATGCCAAACAGCAAGCATGGAGTTTCCCAGTGGCTGCGCAACTTAGAGGGAACATTGCCCAGCACTGATCCCAGTGGCACTCCACTAGTTACAGATTGTACCCCCTTATCCTAACTCTCTGTCTCCTATTAGTCAGCATATCCTCTATGCATGTTAATACACTAACCCCCAAATCATGAGCTCTTGTCTTATTAAGTAGCCTCATGGGTACCTTATCAAATGCCTTCTGGAAATCCAAATACGTTACATCTACTGGTTCCCCATTATCCTGCTTAGTGTCTCCTCAAAAATTCTAATAAATTTTTCCGCCATTAATTTCCCTTCTTGAAACCATGCTGACTCTGTTTGGTCATATTATGTATTTCTAAATGCTATGCTTTTACATCCTTTATCACAGAATTTCCCATTAACAGATGTCAAGCTAACTGGCGTACAAAATCGACAATGTGTTCACACATCCTGCTACTTCTTGCATGCTAAGCAAGTTCTTCCCCAACTGATGTAATTTCCCCAAAGTATAGTCTCCACATTTTATGAAGGATGCACTGACAACAGAAAAGAAAAAAGACTAGAGAATAACACCAGAAGTGGGAGCATGTACTTACCAGAAAAAAGCTTTTATCTAGAAAAAGGAAGGCTATGTGGTGATCTGATACAGATCTGTTAAGATTATGAAAGGGTTTGGAAAGGTCATTGAGGGAATATCTTTCCACTTATGAAGGAGTCTAAGACTTGAAGACATAAATAGGGGCAGCACGGTGGCTAATTGGGTAGTACTGCTGCCTCACAGCACTAGGGACCAGGGTTTGATACAACCCTCAGGCGACTATCTGTTTGGAGTTTGCATATTCTCTCCGTATCTGTGTGGGTTTCCTCCGAGTAACCCAGTTTCCTCCAGAGTCCACAGATGTGCAGGTTAGGTGGACCGGCCATGGGAAATTGCCCCGTCCAGGGAGGTGCAGGCTAGGTGAGTTAATCATGGGAGAGGCAGAATTAGAGGGATAGGGTAGGGGGCTGGGTCTGGGAAGGATGCTCTACAGAGGGTCGGTGTGGACTCAATGGGCCAAATGGCCTGCTTCCACACTATAAAGATTCTATCAATATGAGATAGTCGCTAATAAATTCTCCAGAGAACTTAAGGAACACATCTTTCCCCAGAGTGTGATGTGAATGTGACGGGAACCATCACAAGGAGTGGTTGAGACAAATGGCAGAGTTCTATTTAAGGAGTCGTTACATAAACAAATGCGAGAGAAGGAAATGGATGGTCTTGCTATAGCGTTAGATGAGAAAGCAAAGGAAGAGGTTAGGGCGGGGCAAAATGCAGGCATAAGCATGTTGGGCCAAATGGTCTCTTTCATGCTGCAAATTCTTTATACTATGATACCTTTTGGCCATTTTTCCTTTCTTCTCCACTAAGTCTGCCATCATGGTGTTGACAGAAGGCAGTTTAGCCAAACCTGAAACACAAAAGTAAAAGTAAATCCCATATGGAATTTATGGGTTAGGTTTACCTCATTAATCTCATAAAAGCACATGCAGTTACAGCTTTCAGCAAAATAGTGCTAGCTTTGGCAGAAATTAGTACATTTTAACTTGCTGCTTGACCAGCAATTGAATCACCCAGAACTGATATAATGATGGGGATCAATAAAGGACCTCTTCGAATTTACTAGATTAACTGCTAAGCTCTCTCAAAAAAACATAAGAAACAAGCATGAATGGCGAAAGTACATGGTGTAGGACAAACCACAGTTGAAAAGTGTAAGAGAGATTGATATCAATTGTTTTTTAGTTTAGTCAGGGCATGTTGGTCAGCACGGGCTTGGAGGGTCAAAGGGCCTGCTCCTGTGCCGTACTTCTCTTTTGCTTGTTTTCGTTCCTTTGTAATGTATTGATTGAAGGACAGAGGACAATTATCTAAAAGTCTAGTAAGTTTTGGAAGCGAAATGAGGCCTTGTGTGCCGTTGTGGCTTATTTGTTAAGTCAATTGCTTTATAAGCAGGGAATCCTGGGTTCGAATCCTGGTGGTATCTCAGCTTTCTGTTGAAGATTCCTTGTTTCAACTTATCTCACATGCTATCTTTTGGGCGGAATGGTGGCTCAGCAGTTAGCACTGCTGCCTCACAGCGCCTGGGACCTGGGTTCGACTGTCTGTGTGGAGTTTGCACATTCTCCCCGTGTCTGCGTGGGTTTCCTCCGGGTGCTCCGGTTTCCTCCCACAGTCCAAAGATATGCAAGCTAGGTGGATTGGCCATGCTAAATTGCCTGTAGTGTTCAGGGATGTGTAGACTAGGTGGGCTATAGGGGATGGGTCAGGGTGGGATGCTCTGAGGGTTGGTGTGGACTTGTTGGGCCGAAGGGCCTGTTTCCACACTGTAGGGATTCTGTTATCTGTGAAGTTAAGCCTTTCGATAATTTGGATCAGCTCGAAAAAAGTATGTCAAAGCACAACAAATGACTTGTGACATAGACGCTAACAATCACTTTATTTCCTCCTCAATTTCCCTCTTGAAGTGCTTGACTGTTGCTGGTCCACTGGAGCTTCAAACAGGAGGGGCTTTCTTCAGGTTTTATCTGAGACAAGTAATTACCAGTGGATTACTTTGCAGGCCAACACGGTGACCTCAATATTCTTCGGTCAGAAGTCACCTGGCACCAGTTCATAGACCAACAGATTTATTTGAAATGACAAGCTTTCGGAGCGCTGCTCCTTCATCAGGTGGACTCCAGCGTTCCGAAAGCTTGTCATTTGAAGTAAACCTGTTGGGCTATAACCTGGTGTCGTGTAACTTCTGACCTTGTCCACTCCAGTCCAACACCGGCACCTCCACATCATCAATATTCTTATTCAGCATCCATGCAAAGTCCTTTCTGAGCTCTCAATTAGCAAACTTACAGGAGGGACTGTTGGCTAATTATGTCTCTTCATAATCTGGAGGTATTTGCATTCTCCAACAGAGAAAGCAAAAAAAAATCATCCAAAGAGATTAAATTTAATACAGCCCATGCTGGGGATTGATCCTGCAAGTTTCTCAGTATCTAGCAAGGAGTCAAATTTAAGGAGGTGTGCATCTTCATATGGACAGTGACATTGCCTCAGCAACACACTCTATATTACTTGCTTAACTCTTTGGAAATCACATAATTAAAATGAAGGAGAAAAAGTATGAAGGATAAGATTTTCAGACCTTTAAAGACCCTTGTGACCCAACGCGCTTGAAGTTCAGATATTGGCATAATGGCTCCTAATGGCTGGACAAGGCCAATGATAGCCAGAGTTGGCTGCTCCAGTTGAGGTGGAAAGACGTATTTATACAGAGAAACATGATTTTTGTTGACATTAACAACAGACTCATCCAAAAATGGGAAAGAGACATTGTATCCTGTTGCAAAAATAACAACATCGATGTTTTCCACTGTATCATCATCAAAGATGGCTGCAGTTTCAGTAAATTGCTTCACGTTAGGTTTCACACATACAGTTCCAGATATAATGCGATTCGGTAAATCATCATTGACTGTTGGATGTTGGCTGAAAAACCTGCAATTGAAATGACACCCCATCAATCATGATTGGAGTATGCTCGTGTCTTCAAACGTTCAGAAATTACCGTCCAAGTTTACAAAATAATACCAAATGGACTTGTGGGTGTACAGAATGGTGCCAATTACAAAAAATGTAACGGAATTTGGTCATTGGGAGGTCACCAGGGTGCAGGTTCCTTTAATGTGATTTCTCCAGGTGGTGTAAAGAGAACAGATGTCATATTATCACATAAGGAAAGATGAAAATTTGAAGAGGATAAACGAGGATAAACTGAGAAGCAAAGTAAGGTAAGGCATTGAATTTCACATGTTCTGCAATCTCACTCGTAGTCTGACAAGTGAAATAAATCGACTAAATCTGCTCTGGTGAAAGACATGACTAGCATACGGCTAATTATTTTTCAGAAAACTATGTGCTCAAGGCTTGTGAGTTTATTTGGTCAGTGCTCGACTTATACATAAGTTCCTAGATACAATCCAAGGTCTATGTAGAATTTAGTTGATTTGAGCCAGAGTAATAGGGCCATATTTGCAGCAGTGGCTTTGGATTAAGGAGACGTATAGTCAGGGTTCCTGTCCTAGATGGAAACATGCATAAGGATGGTCTTCGCTATGATCTACCCATGATCCCAGGTACTAAAGATTTATGGGACATCACCATAAGTAGGAGGAAACACTCTCAAGAGCAGCAAGGAGAAGCATGTGAAAAAATGGAATTAACTAAGAATGCAACTGGCAGGATGACTAAAGCTGAGATCCTCCAAAAAGCAACATAAACATGTCAGTAATCGCTGAACAAAATCTATCCCCATAACAAGTAGCACTTGTATACCATCTTTAACATAGCAAAACGTCCAAACTATTTTCTGAGACTGTTAAACATAGTAACATGAAAAATAGGATCAGGAGTAGGCCATTTGGCCCTTCTAGCCTGCTCCTCTATTCAGTATGATCCATGGCTGATCATCCAACCCAATATCCTGTTCCCTCGCTCTCCCCATACCCTTTATCCCTAAAAACTACAACTAAATGCGCCTTGGAGATAGCAAGAACTGCAGATGACGGAGTGAGAGTCAACACCCGAAACACTGATTTTCCTGCTCCTCTGATGCTGCCTGACCTGCTGTGTTCCTCCAGCTCCACACTGCATTGATTAAACAATAAAAACATTCAATGCTTCTCCCTTAACTGCTTTCTGTGGCACAGAATTCTACAGGCTCACACCACTCTCTGGGTGAAGAAATGTTTCCTCATCTCAGTCCTAAGCGACCTACCCGTATCCTTAGACAGTGATCCCAGGCGCTGGATAATATCTGACCCTGACTCACAAAAGGAAACAATGGCCTGGATTTTATGTTAAGGATATCAGCATTCACCTTCATCACAATGTAACCCAGACACCAACCTCAGGTGACATCAGCAAGTGTTTGACTTGCCCCTACTCCATCACAGGTTTTGCTACACCAATACTTTCCCAATAGATATTGCATTAAAATGCATGAGGGCATGAATTTGCAATACTTACTTACAAGATACACACTAAATGCACAAGAAGAAGTCAGGGCTTGAGTATTCAGGCATAAGTGAACTTAGAGCAATGCAATATGTCTCAACTCTGCAAGAACATCTCTGGCACTGAATATTTACTTTTACAAATATGGAGTGTGATTCCTTCAGATCTTAATTATTGGAGATTTAAAAAAATATATGGGGTCAGAAATTTGCTTTAGGGTTGGATACCTTATTTTCAACTTTGACCAGTCTGATAAAAACATGAAATTACATTTTGATGACTTCTGCTCTGGAAAGTCCTGAATAGGATCCTTCTGTTATGAAATTGTGGAGTCCTGCTCTTTGCAGCCAGAGGTGGAGAGCATTGGTGTGGAAGCAATGCAACCGTGTTTCCATAATGACTGTAAGATCATATTCATTTATCTTGACTTATGTTATCAGTTCATCTACCTTATTGCAAATATTTCATGCATTAAAATACAAAGCCTTTAAGTTTGTTCTATTATCAAATTTTCCTATACTTTTATGGTTCTTTGGTGCAATATCACATTCACACATTCTGTCCCTTCCTTTCATTTTCTGGTAACAATCAGCCCCAACACTAAACTGAAATCCCATCTTCGCCTTTACCTTTGATTTTCTAATTTTCCATTCTACTGAACACCCCCCGCTATTTAGTTTAACGCCCTATTCACAGCTCTAGTTGTGCTATTCACCAACATGATCCAGGTGAAGCCCATTGTATTGGAACAGCTCCCTCCTTCCCCAGTACTGGTCCATGAATTTGAAACCATTTCTCCCACACCAATTTCTGAGCCACGTATTTATGTCTTAATCTTGTCCCTTTGCTCGTGGCTCAGGCATTAATCTGGAGATTACTACCTTTTTGGATCTGTTTTTTATTTAGCTCCTAACTGTTCATATTCCCTCAGCAGAACTTCTTTCCTCATTCTACCTATATCATTGGTATCTAAGTGGACCATGACAACTGGATCTTTCCCCTCCAACTCCAAGTTCCACTGCAGCCCAGATGAGATGTCCTGAACCCAGGCACCAGGCAGGCAACACAGCCTTCAAGATTCTTGATCCTGGCCACAGGGGTCTATTCCCCTGACTATACTATCACCAATTACAACTACATTTCTCTTTCCTCCCCGCTTTTGGAAGACCCCTTGTACTGTGGTGCTAAGGTCAGTTTTCCCATTCTCCCCACAGCCCCCACTCTCATCCACACAAGGAGCAAGAATCTCAAAACATCAAGGGCTGAGGCTCCTTCAATGTTTCCCAAAGTTACCTCCTGGATCCCTCTACCTGCTTCACTCATGATCACATCATCATGTTCCCGACCACTGACCGAATTTGAGGTAGTTAGTCTATGGGGTGTGACTGCATCCTGAAACACAATGTCCAGATAACTCTTCCCCATCCCTGATGTTCGCAGTGTTCAAAACTCAGACTCCAGCTCATAAACTTTGAGCTCATAAACTCCTCAAACGACCAACAGTTGCTACAGTTGTGGTCACTATAAACCACAATGGGGGTCTATCAACTCCCACATAGTGATGGGGGACTCAGTTGTAAGGGGGATTGACAGGCAGTTCTGTGGCCACAAATGAGACTCTTCAATGGTGTGGTGCCTCCTTGGTGCCAGGGTCAGGGATGTCTCAGAGCAGCTACAGGGTAATGTGAAGAGGAAGGATGAACAGCCAGCAGTCGTGGTACATGTCAGTACCAAAAATATCAGTTAAAAAAAAGGAGGCCCTGCAACAGGAAGTTAGAGAGTTAGTGGGTGGGCATTTTGACCATAACTTTGCAAGTGTCAAAGTAATTATGGTTTTGGGATAGAAGTAGTGCCTAAACTGGAGGAAGTCCGATTACAATATCATTAGATAGGATCTGGCAAACAGAGACTGGAAGCAGCTACTTGCAGGTATGTGTACATTTGGAGAGTGGAAATCTTTTAATATTGCGAGAGTTCAGGGCCAGCGTGCTTCTGAAGGGCAAGGGCAGCAAGTCCTGGAAAATTGGATGTCAAGGGATACCAAAATTAATAAAGAAAAAAACAGAAGCATATGTTAGGTACTGAGCACTAAAAAACGGGGGAGGCCCCTTTACAAGTATAGAGTGTAAGGGGTGCTTAAAAAATAAATTAGGAGACCAATGAGGGGCCATGAAATATTTTTGGAAGACATGATTGAGGAAAACCCCAAGGCATTTATAAGTATTTTGACAGCAACAGGATTACCAGGGAAAGAGTGGGACCTGTTAGCGACCAAAGTGGAACAAAAGAATGTGGGTGAGGTCTTAAATGAATATTTCTCATTTGTATTTCATAAAGGAAAAAGACATTGTAGCTGGAGATTTCAGGTGGGACGGTGAGGTTCAAGAACATGTTAAGATTAATAAAGAGGAAAGATTAGATTTTTTTATGGGAATACAGATGCATAAATCCCCAGGGCCTAATGAGATGTATCCCAGGCTGCTATGGGAGTCAATGGAGGAGATTGCTAGTACCCTGCTAGAGATATTTAATACCTCATTGGCCACAGTTTAAGTGCCAGATGCCTGGAGGATAGCTAATGTGGTTCCTTTGTTCAAGAAGGGCAGCAGGGATAGTCCAGGTAATTACAGATCAGTTAGTCTGACGTCAGTGGTAGGGAAATTATTGGAAAAAATTCTGACGGACTGGATTAATCAACACTCGGAAAGGTAGGGATTGATTAGGGATAGTCAACACAGATTTGTTAGAAGCTGATCCTGTCTGACTAATTTAGTTGAGTTTTTTAAAAAGGTGACTAAATATATTGATGAGGATAGTGCAGTCAATGTAGTTTACATAGACTTTGACATGGTTCCACATGGAAATAGTCCAAAAGGTAAGAGCTCATAGGGTCCAAGGCAAGTTGGCAAACTGGATGCAAAACTGGCTTACAAATAGGAAGGAAAGTGTGATGGTGGAGGATTGTTTTTGTAGTTGGAAGCTTATGACCAGTGGTGCACCACAGGGATTGGTGCTGGGACCCTAGCTATATGTTATGTACATTAATGACTTGGATGTGAATGTAGAGGGTATAGTTAATAAGTTTGCAGAGAACATGAAAATTGTTGTTGTTGTTGACAGTGAGGATGGTCGCAGTCTACAGTCTGATATCAAGCAGCTGGTAAATTGGGTGCAATGGAAGATGGAGTTTAATCCTGATACGTGCGAGACGATGCATTTTGGGTGAGCTAATAAGAGAAGGATTTACAGAATGAATTGTAGCTCCCTAAGGAGTACTGAGGAACAAAGGGACCTTGGTGTACAAGTCTGTAGATCCCTGAAGGTGTCAGTGCATGTAGACAGGGTGGTGAAGAAGGCATACAGATGCTTGCCTTCCTTAGACAGGGCACAGTCTACAGGATAAAGGAAATCATGTTACAACTTTACAAAATATTGGTTAGGCCCCAGATGGAATACTGTGTGCAGTTCTAGACACCACACTGTCAAAAGGATGTGGCTGCACTGGAGAGGGTGCAGAGAGGATTTACCAGGATGTCGCCTGGGATGAAAAGTCTTAATTATGAGGTGAAACTGGGTAGCCTGGTGAAATAACTCCACAGAGGCTGATATCACGTTACCAAGTCACCCTTTATTTACACATGAACAGTCCTTGACTATAGTTATGCCTTATACAGAGTCAATATCACTGACACTCACCCTTTTTATACATCAGTCAGGTTCCCTGATTGGACCAGATTAACAGTGCCAATTAGGAAACCCATATTCTATGAGGCCTAGCTGGCTGACCTTCTTGCAATCACTACAGCTACACTTTGTTTTCCCTGGAGCAGAGGAGGCTGAGTGGAGAATCCAACTGAAGTGTACAAAATTATGAGAGACACAGATAGGGCAAATCATGAGAATCTTTTCCCCATAGCAGACATGTCTAAGGCCAGAGGGCATAAGTTTAAGGTGAGGAGTAAGTGGGTCAGAGGATGTCTGAGGAAAAGATTTTTCACCCAGAGGGTGGTAGAAATATGGAACGTGCTGCCTGAGAGGGTGGGGGAGGCAGGTACTTTTGCAACATTTGAGAAGCATCTGGATGCGCACTTAAAATGGCCAGGGCATAGTAGGTTACGCATCAAGTGCAGGTTAATGGGATTAGCATAGTTTGGAGTCTGTTGGTCAGTATAGACATCGTGGACCAAGGGGCCTGTTTCTATGCTGTATGACTCTGTGACATACATGCATGTACAACAAACCTCCTGGCCTTGCATCTCTATTTTATTGACTTAGTTCTTAATTTGCGTTTTCTTCAAAATTTCACTTTCTGTTTTCTGCTGGGCTTCTAATCATGGGCTTTAATTTTTTAAAAAAAGTCTTACAAATTATAAGCCAAAAATGCAAGCAAAAAGCACATCTTCCCCTCTCCACTGAACTCCCCCCACTGCTCGAAAATCCCAGAAATATATAATCACTCAGGCTGTGCCTAACTCCGAACATGATCAATCCTTCCTGATTGTATGAAGCTTACTATAAGTGCCATTCATTTACCACAGGCCACAAAATCTGGTCCATTAAGATAGGTCACCACAAGCTTGGTCAAAGTAGTAGGTTTTAGAGCATGAAGTGAGAGATAATTACACAACATGTTCAGACTCTTGGAACAGAATATCACCGGGGTTCTACAAACCTGTGGCTAGGCTGCAGACCATAGTTTGCATGATTGAATCGGCTGTTCACATTCCATTCAGCAAACCAGCTAGCAACAGATGTCGGAAGAAAGGTATAAATGCGACAGGTGAACAGCATGTCAGCCGGTAATCCTCTGCTAGCCACACGGTTTGTTACCCAGGCACCTCGTCTCGTACTGAGGAATACCTACAGCACATTTCAAGAACATAAAGACAGCAAGCTTTAAATTTTGCTCCACGTTTTTGCAGCTTTGGTCTCCATTTTTTTATGCAAGGATGTAAATATGTTGGTGGTGGTCCAGGGGAGGCTTACTAGATGGGAACCTGAAATGAGCAGATTATCTTCTCATGACAGGTTGGACAGATTGGGTTTGTTCTCAAGTGAAGTTTAGAAAAACAAGGGGTGATGGTTATAAGACCCTGAAAGGTCTTAACAAGTGATGTAGAAATTATAAGAACCGAAAGAGTTCTGAGGAAGGGTCACCGGACCTGAAACGTTAACTCTTGTTTTTTTCCTTCACAGATGCTGCCGAAACCTGCTGAGCTTTTCCAGCAACTTCTGTTTTTGTTGTTGATGTAGAAACGATGTTTACGTGGGGACAACATGGTGGCTCAGTGGTCAGCACCACTGCATCACAGCACCAGGGACATGGGTTCAATTCCACCCTCAGGTGACTGTCTGCAGGGAGTGTGCATGTTCTCCCTGCGTCTGTGTGGGTCTCCCCCAGGTGCTCCGGTTTCCTCCCACAGTCCAAAGCTGTGCAGATTAGGGAGACTGGCCATGCTAAATTGCCCATTGTGGCCAGGGTAGGTGCATTGGCCATGGGAAATGCAGGGTTATGAGGATAGGGTGATAGGGTGATAGGGTGATAGGGGGAGGGGGGGGGGGGGGGGCAGGCCTGAGTGGGATGTGCTTTGGAAGGTCACTGTCAACTTGATGGGCCAAATGGTCTGCTTCCACACTGTACAGATTCTATGATTGCGGGTCAGTCTGGAGGCAGGCAGCACTGTTTTAAAATTAGTGGTCCTTTTAGGTCAGAAATTACAGCAATTTTTTTTCTCTCAGATGGTTGTGTGTCTTTTGGAACACTCAGCCACAAAAGGTGGGAGAAGTGGAACTGTTGAATTTCGTTAATGCAGAGGTGGACAGATTCTTGTAAGGCGAGGGAATCAAAGGTTATCAGGAGCAAGATGGGAATGTGGGATTCGGAAGGCAAACAGATCAGCCATGATCTTATTGATTGACAGAGCTGGCTTGAATGGTCAAATAGCCTACTTCTGCTTCTTATTTGTACATTCATATCTAAATGCACAGGTAAATATCAGTACTGCATTTTATTTTCAAAAATTTATTTTCAATAAATTCTCAGCTGAATGGCCAACTCCTATTCCAGTGCACAAATATATATATCTATGTAATAGTTGATACAGCAGATTAAGGGGGAAAGGAAAAAACTGTTCAACTAGGTCATGGAATCACAGAATTATTACAATGGAGAAGGAGGCAGCTCAGACCCTTGTATTTGTACCTAATCTGGGGAGGTGATGGCCTACTGGTGTTATCACAAGACTATTCATCTAGAAATTCAGTTAATGGAAGATGGTGGAATTTGAATCCAATTAATATCTGGAATTAAGAGTCTAATGATGACTGTGAATCCATTGTCGATTGTTGGAAAAACCCATCTGGTTCACTAATGTCCTTTAGGGAAAGAAACTGCCATTCTTACCTGGTCTGGCCTATTTGTGACTCTAGACCCCCAGCGATGTGGTTGACTCTTAACTGCTCTCCAGGCAATTAGAGATGGGCAATAAATGCTGGCCTAGCCATTGATACCCACATTCAATGAATAAATAAATAAAACTCACTCAATGACTTAATACCATTCTCCTGTTTTTGACCGTTAACCCTGCACATTGTTCCTTCCCAAATAACTGCCTAACTCTCTTTAGAAACAAACTAGGTGAGCGCCATTGCACCAAACTAAACAACCGTGAAGAGGCATTAAAGAATCATTGTATAGCCAAAGATGTCAAAAAGAGATATTCAGATTGAGAAGGATAAAGTGGGACTATTTATCTGGTCTCAGACACATTGGATGTCATTTATGACTTTGAAAGAGCTGTTTTGGAACTGTGGAAAGGGCAGAAACCAGATTGGAGGAAATCAAACATACAGTTTCAAGAAATGTGGGCTTTGATATGGGAGCATCAAGGCTTCGAAGAGGACAGTGGTTCAGAGAGGGGATAGTAGTTTGCCAGGATGGTGGACTGTCAGAAATACCAAACACTTGGCAAATGGATTTTTGAAAATACCGCTGTAATCAAATTGAGAAAAGAGTAATTTTTTACAACAGTGGATGTAGAGAAGTAGGAACTGGTTCAAACTTGCTCCTCATTTCTGTCATCTTGTGCTTTTATTTCAGATTTCTAGTGTTTGCCTACTTTCTTTACAATTTCTAAGCCAAACCAATTCCTAGCAATCCTTACTTTCCTGAATCTGGATAAACGGTAGCTACCTCATTTTATGGTGTGAGCACAAGACAACGCAAAGCCAGCAGCCATTTTGGTCATTACATTCTTTCTACTTTTAACTACAGAGTTTTAGATCTAATGGTTTCTCATTAAATTTGCAATGGTAAGATTACATCTGGAGTACTCTGTGCACTTGTGCGCTCTATTGCTTACTAATTGTATATTGGTCAAGGAAGAATTGCGATCACCAAATAAGCTTGTTTGGACATGTCCCTTTAAGATTGCCCCACCACAATGCTGCATGTACCTTCAAAGAACCGCAGCTTGTTCACAGAATATTTGTCCTTTGCTGGGCACATTTCCAATTGCCTTACAGCCCTTTGCCCACACAGAAGAGGTTAAATCTGATGGTTAGAGAAGAGATTATATAAACAGGCCTTATGAATTGATTGAGGTATTCAAGGTTTTGAAAGGAACTGATGGGAAAGAGAGAGAATTTTTTTTTTCTGGTAATGGTAGAGCCGAGAGGAAGGGGGCATAACCCTAAAATTAGAACCTGGCCAATCAGGAGTGAACTCAGGAAACCTTTTTTTTCATGTAAATACCGGTAGGAGTCATTGGTAGAACTCATCCACAAAAGTAAAAACAGCTATAGTAAGAATTTAACATTGGAAATTGATGAATGTTTTGCAAGATGAGGATTAACAGAAGAATATGGAGCCTCAGCAAAATGATGGGGTTCAGAAGAGAATGGCAGCCATAATCTCACAAGATCATGGACAGGCTTGAGCCACTGAATTGCCAGTCTCAGTTCCTGTATAATTGTCCACAATTATTTGTTGTCACATTATGATTGCATTGTTTACTATGTAGCATTGTACCATGTGGCAAAAGGGGAGATACAGAAGACGTTCTGCTGTTGCAGACTACACCAGATCAGGGTTGGAGAAGCTCTACGTGACAGACAGATAACATTTCAGTTAAAATTAGTCAATTCAGTTGCTCACCACCATATTTTCAACAATTCCTAAGAGCAGGATACCTTATTTTGTGCTAGCCCTTACCTGTTTAGCATGTCGGCTGATTTCAACTGCAAGGTCACCTCCAGAGTTTCCAATTCCAATTACTACCACTCGCTTTCCTTCAAATATCATCGGACCTTTATATTCCTTACTGTGCATGTATTGACCCTTGAACTTTTCTATGCCTAGCAAAACAGGAAAGAGAAAAGGAATGTTATTTGCTCAAAAATCAATTATCATAATATAACCCATCTGCTTTCAAAAGCTTTACTATTTCTGAAGAAAGGTCCCGACCCAAAATGTCAACTTTCCTGCTCCTCTGATGCTGCCTGACCTGCTGTGTTCTTCCAGCTCCACACTGTGTTGTCTCTGACTCCAGAATCTGCAGTTCTTGCTATCTTTACTATTAGGAACAAAAACAGAAGTTGCTGGAAAAGCTCAGCAGGTCTGGCAACATCTGTGAAGAAAAAATCAGAGTTAACATTTCAGGTCTGGTGACCCTTCCTCAGAACCCTTTACTATTTTTGCTATACTACTTTACTATACTAATTTTACTATTAGACTTGTCTTGATCATCAGTATTTTTCATACTCCCCATTTTTTGCCTTCTAATCTTCTGGATTTGCTTCTCTTCCCTGTTTTATTCTGTATTTTTCTCTTAGTTTTCTTCTGAATTACCAACATTAAATTTATGATATTCCTCCCTAATAGAAATCATTTTTGATATGCTGGTTCACAATTCTGAAAATCGTAACAACTTCTGAACCCTGTGTGCATAATTAAATGCAGAAACACAGAAGTTGCTGTCAATGATTTGAAATTTCTTCACAAGAGTTCCCTTTTGTGACACACCCCAAGAATGCTTAACAATTAGAAATTACTGAGCTGATGAGAATTTCTACTCCTATGCTTATAGTCTCTCTGTTATTTTTTGAAGAAGTTACATCTTTTTTAATAGATGTAATTGGGCTTTTGACAGCACACCAAGCTCTTAATTACTCTTAAACAGCCTCACTAGCTTTGAAAGAGTTATTTTGCAGATTAAATGTCAAATACCTCCTTGTATTTTCATATTTATTTAAAAATTAAAGTCAATTTAGAAGATTATAGCTTCTACCTTAATCCCATGTGCATGTCCTAACCATTTTTCCAGAATCTGTATCATTTAATAATTAAAGTGGAAGATTTTAATGATATTTCCCTCCTGTGTTGCTGTCTGTGAACATACTTCACTATGGTTGGCTGCTTAACTTGCTTGATGACATCATTGATGGAAGTACACCTGGAGATTTCCTTAACTTTGCACCAGATTCAAACTGAAGCCAGGAAATGTGATAGCATGCCATGGAGACTGTTAGACGATTACAGGCAAAAAAAAACTTTAAGGATAGTGACAAATGCTGTTGCCTCACTACAAACATCGTTTGTTGACAACATTATTGAGGACAGGTTGACAGGACATTTTATTAGGGATGTTCAAAATCATGAGACGTCAAGACATGAACATTGGCAAAAGAGTTGAGATTACTGGCACTGATTTAAGGTGATTGACAACAAAAAGATGGTGAGATGAGGAAGATAATTTTTTATGCAACTAGTATTTAGTATCGGGAATTCACTGCTTTCCAAGGTGTGTGCAGGCAATTGAGAACGGTTACATAGTCACCATCAGGCTAGGTTTTAATTCCAGATTTCATTGAACTCAAAATTCACCATCTGCCTGGGTAGGATTTAAAATAATATCTCCAGAATAATGTAGTGAATAATGCCACTACACAACAATTCATCTATGAGCTACATCCATTACACTACCTCCAAGTCCAATTTTACAATTGGACAGATTTTTGAAACGTACGTCGTAATTCTCAGTTTCCTGTCCTTCACCCAGAAGCAAGTTGCTTACTATGATCTGCCTGTATTGCTTGCAAACAAAGCTTTTCATTGTACTTAGGTCCACGTGACTACAACAAATCAAATCAAGTCTGGCACCATATTGTTCTGCAATGAATCTGCTAATTTTCATTCAACTCTGTTTATTTCAAATTGTTCATTCATATAAATGGAGATAGCACCAAAAATGTCTCCCATTGAAAATCTGTCACTTACTTCAACTGCAAATACTGGCTGGAGACAACAGAGCATTTGAGAACATGCACAGCAAGAACTACAAGACCTGTGTTACAGAAGGGAAAAAAAATCCCAAACACAGGGGGCAATGTTCACAAAGCAACCAAGTGCCAGGGTAATGTGTGATTGGACGCAGCTTTAAAAATGCAAGTTTAACTTTGTGACTATGGGAGCTAGTGGGACATTCCACATTCATTGTCTAATCTGTTACAGAGAGCAGAAGGGAATTTCTAGGTGACCCTGGTAAAATAACTCCCTCATCAATGCCTGTGAAATTTTACTGACAATCAAAAATATGGAAAAAAAAGAAATCACCAAGCATTTTATTCATGGGTGTGTATTTGAGCTGAAATAGATCCCTCCTCTTACTATTCAGGTATTCACAAACCTGGAGATGAAAGTGTGTAACCTTGGACTGAAATTTCCAGCCTGCCCATGTTGAGAATGGAGATAGTGTTGGCCTGCCAACGGAAGCTGTCTAGGGGGAGGTCAGTTCAGGGCCAGTGCTCCAATACTGAACATGCAGGCCAACTGGAGGCCCTCCCTGCCTGCGTGGGAGGTGTAGCCATTGGGTGTACAATATGTGAAGTTTTAAAAAGGATGCCTTCATGTTAAAGTGACTTACCAGCTGTAGCCCCTCACTCCTGTCAAGGTAGGAAGTTTCTGCTTGGCCCTCCATGAGCCTATCTTGCCACCTCTATTTGCACAGGGAATCCTTCTCTGTGCAAATTAAGGACACACCTTTTTTTTGGAAAATCCCGAAGAGTGACTAAGTCATGAGGGAAATGTAATCCAAGGTTAAGTAGCCTTGAGTAATTTCTACTTCATTTAAGTTTCCTCTCAGCCTTCCTTATTCAACATAATCAACATGAATCTGATTTCCTTTCTTTAAAATTCATTCATGGGATTTGGGCATCAATGGTTGGCCAACATTTATTGCCTGTCTTTCAGAAGTTGGTGGTGAGCTTGAACCTCTGCAGTCCCTATGACATCGATAACCTCACAATACTATTATGGAGGGAGTTGAAGTGAAGCAAGAACAGTGTATTTCCAAATCAGGATGGTGCGTGGCTTGGAGGGAAACCTGCAGCTGGTTGTGCTCCCACGTATTTGCTGCTTTTATCTTTCTGGACGGAAGTGATTGTGGGTTTGGAAGGTGCCATCTGAGGATCTTTGGTGAATTTCTGCAGTGCATCTCACAGATAGTACACACTGCTGCTACTGAGCATCGGTGGTGGAGGGAGTGGATGCTTGAGGATGTGGTGCCAATCAAGTGGGCTGCTTGGTCCTGGATGGTGTCCAGGTTCTAGAGTGTTGCTAGAATTGCACCCATCCAGGCAAATGGGGAGTATTCCATCACACACCTGACTTGTGCCCAGTAGATTGGGACAGGCCAGGCTTTGGGGAGTCAGGAGGTGAATTACTCGCTGCTGTATTCTGAGCCTCTGACCTGCTCTTGTAGCTGCAGAATTTATATGGACAGTCCAGTTCTATTTCTGGACAATGGTAACCCCCAGGATGTTGATAGTGGGGAATTCAGTGTCGATAATGCCATTGAATGTTAAAGAAGTGATGGTCAGGTTCTCTCTTGTTGGAGAGGTCATCATCTGGCAACTATGTGGGGTGGATGTGTATTCCTCTTAAATTTCTCCATACCATCACCTCCCCATGACATTGATTTCCACATTGTCACAGCACATTCTGGATAAACACATTTCTTCTGAATTCCTTGTTTGATTTCTTTGTAGCTACCTAATTTACTGATCTCTAGCTTTGTTCTTCCAAACAAGTGGAACACCTCCATTAGTATCTAATCCGATAATAATTTTGAAGAGCTCTGTTAGGTCACTCTTCCATTTCAAGGAAGGAAAGACCCTGGCTCTTCATCCTTTACTCATGGATATAAGGTCCAAGTTCTTCTTTCAGCTTTGCCAATCTGCTTTGACGCCTTGCAGTATGTCTATCTTCTTTTTTATAACATGATGACCAAAACTGTACAGATTGCTCCAAATGTCGGTAAACACAGACTGTTTGCAAATTCACAAGATCTAGTCTAGTCCACCCTCAGAAATAAACTCTTGTTCTCAGTTTGCTTTTGTTATGACCTAATGAATACAGGTTACAACTTTCACCCTGATTTACATTCCTAGATTCTTTTGTTGCTCTTGCTTATCTAGGTCCTTATCTTCCAAATAAGGTGGGTGACCTTTGTATAAGAAAAATGCAACACCTCTCATCTATCAGTGTTTAAATTCATTTGCAATGACATGTCCTTCTGCAGATTTTTTTTCTTCTTTCAGCCTTCCTCATTATGACACCCACTCCCAACTTGTCACCTGCTATATAATAAATTGTGTTTTTGTTTCCAATGTCTCAACCATTGATATAAATTGGGAGCGACTGTGTTCCTAACATTGCTTCTTGCAAGATACCACTTCCAACATTCTGTCACTCTAAATACCCTTTACTCTTACTCTCTGCTTCCTGTCTTACAGCCACCTAACTGTCCATTCTAAAACTGGTCAAATGACTCCACATTCTTTGTCCTTATTTCACTTATATGTTGTGATGCACCTTATCGAAGGTCTACGAAATAACTCCACAGAGGCCAGTATCCCGTCACCAAGTCACTCTTTATTTCCACATGCATAGTACATGACACTGGCCCAACTAGCTCAGAGATGGCTCCGAGAGTGAGAAGAACCCTTGACACTCTTGTTTATATCTGTCAGCCAGGGCTCCCTGATTGGACCAGATTAACAACCTCAATCGGGGAATTCACATTCTGTAAAATCTATCAGGCTGTTCCAATCACTGCAGTTTGGTCACTTTCCTATTGCCAATAGTGGGAGCTAGCAGTGACCAAATTGTCTATTGTATTTCCTTCATGCGACAGTGACCACATTTCTCCAAAGAAAAACATAATTGTCAGGTTAAAGCATGCGAGGTGGTGTGTAAATAGAAGTTGAGTTGACCTGTAACATGTTATGGAATGTACTATAATCGCTATATAAAAAAATTAATTTTTTTATGCTAATTACTCTCAACATGCAATTTATTTACTGACCAAACTCAGTATCAACTCACCAGGAAAAGAATCCAGAGGCAAATGGGCATTGACATGATGACCAGTACAGACCAGAATGGCATCGAAAATAGTTGATTCCAAATTGTCCTCTGCATCTCTTGTCACAACATCCCATTGCCCCGTCGTGGAGAAATCATCTCGTTTACTTATGCTACACACCATAGTCTACAGAAATGGAATGAAGAGAGAATAGTTTAGGAAAACTTGCGAAATGTACCCTTTGGATTCCTATAGTACTCTCTGAGACTGGAACAAGGCACAGATCGAATTGAGACTTTAACATGGCTTTTTGAGATGAATAATATCAAGCTGTTAATTTTCTAGATTTCATCTTCTCAGTCTTTGTCTTTCTTTGGATACTCCCAAGGTGTGCTTCATTCCCTTTGTAAGTGACTTGGTGACACTGCCCAGTCGTCTATGTTTGATCCACACAGTCTATCTTTTGAGTTGGATGATTAACTTCCTGAAATATGCACAAGATAGCAAGAGTCATTTCATTTTAAAACAGAGTCCATTTGCTCCCCTATTTTGTTTCCAAGGGTAGCTGATACATGACAACATCACTAACTGCAAGTTCCCCTCAAATCCACAAACCATCCTGGCTTGGAAATATATCCCCGTTCATTTCAGTGTTGTTGGATCAACATCTTGGTACTCCCTCTCCGACAGCACTGTGGATGTCCCTTTACCCCATGGACTGCTGTGGTTCCAAAAGGCAACTAACCACCACCTCCTCAAGTGTAACTAGGAAAATGCAATAAATACTGGCCCAGCCATCGATTCCCACATCTCCTGAATGAAACTCTCTAATGAACACACCAACTGACTGAGAAGTTGAAACATTTTCAATGATTTTCCATCAGCAGCAAAGTGAATATTAATGTGTCTCACTGCTCTATATTTGCTTTGTTAAGCAGGTGACACCTCCAACCCTGTTTTCAGTGACAAATGTCTATTGGGGCTCTTCCCAGAAGGTGGTGATGTGGGACAGCAGTGTGGGCTGCTGAGCAACTCCCTGGTTTTCCAGCTAAGATCAGCAACTCAGGAATACAAGTAGTCACAGTCTCTGGGAATTATGTAGCATCGAGGAATGTGAACTTTGATGGACATTCCATATTTGCAAACACCTTGCTTTATTCCCATTTTCAAAGTATCCACTGCAATTCGGTGAAGATGGTTTGCTCTTCCCCATGCCTGAAAGCAGAACAGGTAGAGGGAAAAATAAACAGTTGAAAAGAGCAGTAAAACTGGGACATGAATGTACTGGAGTTCCATTTTCAGGTATACAAGACAAGTCAGACTAGTATGAACATTTCCAAGGTCATCAATCTGAAGTACCAATTGTATTTCTTTCCCCATCGATCAGTTGCTGAATATACCTAGCAACTTCCTTTTTTGCATCTTTCCAGAATCTGCACATATTGCTATGGACCAGATTGGGGCAACTAGAACAGGGAAACCAAAACTATTTCTATGTGTTATATTTGGAACATCCATTTTTGAATCAAAATCACATTGGATCTAGACAGCTTGAAATGTTTAAACCTTTCCCTGAGTTGCGCACTCTCAAGCTCCAGAAAAAAACTGTACCAAGCCCAACGATACAGTTACCATCTGTCTACAGAGGGAGCTGAAAGGATAATGTCTGAAAAGAGTTTTGACATTTACTGTCATAGGTTCAACCAAACATCCACTCCCAGATAATTTTATGTTCTGGTGCACATCTTCAAATTCCTCCATGCCCTCCATCCTTTCAGTATCTGAGCTTGCATTATTCACATGGCCTCCATTTTTCCAACCCTAGCACACTCAGTGTTCTCCTCTACCCCACTGCAAACCACCAAGTATACCAGGATTTCCATATCTCTGTCTCTGCTATATCCCCATTCTCCACCATGTTTCGACTCTGTCCTTGACGGAGTAGGGCAGCCTCAGAATGCCAATGCTCATCTGTGCGCACAGCAGGGCTTTAAAGATGGCATAGACACTAAGCATGCTGGCCTTTCCGTGGGTAACTGCTGAGTGGCAGACTGTTCTAGAAACAGCACATGGTAGGATGGGGCTAGAATCGGACTTGAGGGATGCCACAGAGGCACAGTAGGCAATTAATGCAGTGAGTTTGGTAAGATACAGCAAAAAAAATCGCTAGGCCTCGTAGCAAAAACCATCCAAAAAACTCATTGAACTCAGATTTAGCCAAAAATATATAAGAATCAGCCCTACATACCTCACTTGTGTTACATATAGATAGCGCACAGAAACTTTACATTAGGGAAAGCACAACTATGTAATTGGAAGCTTGTTTCAGGGTCAAATCTAGCACTAAGTTTGAAAACAGTCAAGTCTATTTTCAGACAATTTCCAGATGAGAGGAGTAGATTTTAAAGCAGGGATTGCAAACTGAGGGTTGGTATTTCTAAGGTTGGATTTGAGGAATTTTCTGCTCCTCCAGTGCTGGATATCGGATAAGGAATGGAGCGAGATGGAGGTGGAGGTGAGATAAGGATGAGTGGCTTCAGCAGTAATGTGAGTACTAAAGCCTGTGCTTTCAGGTGCTCTTGCTCAGTATCAGCACATAGATAACAAAAATAAACAGGAGAAGACCAAGGATAGATCCCTGAGGACACTGGCAGCAATGGTCTACAAACTTGAAGAGAATCCATTGGAATGATACTCTGGCTACTATTGGATGGACAAAAATGGGACCAGTTAAGTATGGTTCCGTCCAGTTACATGACAATGGAATGGAAAGATGTTAAAGGAGGATGGTGTGGTCAACCTTGTCAAAGGCTGTGGAGATAGCAAGAACATTTGGACCACCTGCAGCCAAACAAGTGTGTACAAATGCTTCGATCGAGCCATGCACTATTCTAAGATTGAACAGGTCCTTTAGTTCCCCAAGTAGAATCAGCCTCAAAATGACACATGCTGCAACTTTGCAAAACCAGATCAAAATCGTACCTTGAACTGTATGTACTTCAGCAGGTTGAAATGCTTGGCATAAAGGTGGAAGTACTCCAGAATCCGAGAGTTATGCATGTAGTTTGGGTAATCATCAGGAATTGGAAAGTCACTGTAGCACATCATCTCCTTGGAGGTATTAATGATCAGTGATTTATAAATGCTGGCTCTAGCATCTGTTATATTTTCCTGAACAAAAAAGATTAAAACATAATTTTATAGGAGGTTTTTGCATGAACATTAACATTCTAAAATCCCTCCTTAGCTTATTTTTGAGAAGGGCAGTCCTAAATTTGACTTACTAATTTGAATCTGAGAATTTTTGTCTTAATCACAATTTTAAAATATTTTCCCAATTTGCCACCTACCCATTACTTACCAGCCTTACATGCCTCAGTAAAGTCACATTTGAGATTGTTGCTGTCAAGTGTGAAAATCCCCATCTCTGTACACTTCTCCATACCTCAAACACCAAGCCGCAGCCTCCTAATTCTTCTCTGATCTGCCTGCAATGTTTCAATCCACTTATCTCTCAGTGAATCCACAAGGTGTAGTCTCTGAGGAACACAGCAGAGTTTATACAGAAGCTTTTCCTCCAGTGTATTGTCTTTGCAACTTAGCATCCTATTGTCTTTACAGTCTCCTGCTGAGCAGTAGTGGTCATATTGAGCATGTGCAGAAAAGGGGATGCTGAGGGGATGACCGTACAGACATCTTTGAGGTTGTCAAGATATTTAAGAGGATAGACATAGAAAGGATGTTCCCATGTGTGGGGGCCACCAAAGCTAGAGATCAAAAAGACAAGTTAGCCACCAGAAAATCCAAAAGGGATTTCAAGAGAAATGCCTTTACACAGAGAGTGGTTAGAATTTGCAACTCACCTACTGCAAAGCGTGACTGGGGTGAATATTCAAACTGTATTTAAGTGAAGCTAGAGACAGAAAAGGGAGCTGAAGAGGGAGGAGGCTTGTGTGGAGCAGAAACATTAATATACATCAGTTAGTCTAATGTCCCAAATTATTTTTTGTAAAGCACTTTTAGATGAAGTAACAGAATTTTTTGTAAAATTTCTGACAGTTGGTTTTATAGCTGTCCAGTTATATATAACCAACTGTCATTCTATATTGGCTTATGCTTGAAATAAATCTTAAAAACTCATCAGTCAATTTCTTAACTCCTAGGATTTTGTCTTTTGCTGCATGTGATGGTGGGGGTGGTACTAATGAAATACTTGATGGCTAAAATAATACTGCTTCATAATGTGTGATGAGACTAAGGGGATGTATTGTGCAGTCACTGGATCTCTGCTTACACAAGTTTTGCAAATGACCACTATTACAAAATAAAATCTCGATCGCAGAGTGCACAAGTTGAGCTGAGGAAATCTTATGCACCCTTGAGGACTATTTAAACCTTGATCAACACCCCATTGGCGCTACACAGCAAGCAGTGCCAAGGCCTGACAGTGTAAGAAAGCATCCACTTCTATCAAATGACTTTCAGATTTGGGTCAGTGTCCAAACCAGGATTTATGTCCTTGTAATATACAAGGGACAGTGTAACAAAGTCCTGCACTTTACTCCCTTTTAGTCAAATGAAGCACCATGGTGGGCCACATGCAGAGAAGGTAAGACTAAGTACATACAAATACAATTATCTTTTTATTTGGGGTCACTTCTACTTTGAATTGAATGGCAACAACAGAAAGGAATGAAGTTGGAACACTGCGACTTTCAATCGCACCAAATGAAACCCCAGAAAACACGAGAACATACCTGGAAGTTCCACAGCCCTCCAATGTCATTGCTCCTCTCAAAGCAGACAGGCTCCAAGTCTTCATCCAGACAGCACTTTATACAGGCTAGGCCACTAGAACCAGCCCCAATTATGGCAACTCGCTTCGTCATTTTCACCTACCAAAGCAAACAGCCAATAGTTCAACATTTCATCGGATAAAAATACATCAAGACACCAAAAGAAAGTTGTAGTCCTTGCAGCCGAGAAGACCATTCAACTTATTATGTCCATGCTGGCCTGCCTTACCCCATCCCACAGATTGAACACTGAACTGCATTTCTCCTGAGACCTTCCAAATCTTCCCCAGAAATAAGGAGTGCAACTACTCCTCAGAGAGCCCTTTTAGACTGGAGTAGAGTCATGGGGAGACAGGATACACCAGGACAGCACCATCTATCAAATGGTAAACTTAAAAGGCCAGAGCGAATGTTAGTAAGTGGGGGAAAGGATGAATTACTGAATGGGATGGGTAGCAAGGTAGGTGGAGATAGGATGGGTGAGTTGGGTAGTGGGTGAGGTGGCAGATGGGCACAATACCAGGTGCATGGGACAGTAGCTGGGTCGAGGGAGTAGTCAAGTAGCTGAGGGAATGGTCAGCTGGTCTGGCAGGTGGTTGAGAGGACTGGTCAGGGAGGAAAGTCAAGTGCTGAGGTTGCAGTGGTGGGGAGGAAGGAAGTTTGATCCAGGTCTGCAAAGTAGGCTGGAGACAGTATGTGTTGTTAACCAGGAGTTAAACTGGGTTTTCTTCTCTCTGACATACCTTGGGTAACTACATTAGAACTGTAGTCTAACTCGGAGGGGCCTGAGAAGCAGAGGAATTGCCTGTCAGAAGTTCAAACATCCCACGCAATTGTTGGAGACCAGCACATCAGTACCTCCACAATTTGATCCGTGTCATGATCCAGAGCCCAGAAAATATGAGTCAGCTAATGCAAAAGGTCATGGAAACCAGAGGTGTGCCAAATGTTACAAAAAAAAATTGGAACGCAGATTATGCCAACATTGGGGGAATTGCACTGAAAAAGAAAGTACAACAGGGTGGAAAGTTGAGTCCATAATGTATGTGAGCAGAGCTGAACAGAACTTACATGGAATGACAGACGCCAGTGTACAGCGATAGGGTTAGATCAGTTTGTAGATTGCGTGTGGGATGTTACGTAGCATACATAACTTTATGTAAAAGAGCTCCTCAAAAGTGTGAGTTACTCAACAATACTATGTATCAGTATTACTGTTATAATATGTTTATGTTGGAAGGAGTTCACTGTTATATAGGCCTGCTGAGGTGGCAGATACTGGACCTTTGAACAAAAGGCAACCTTTAATACAAACTGCAGCTGCCTGCATTCTAACTTAGGTTACACTTGTGGGTCTAACTACCTCGTTCACTATTTGCTTCAACTATGTAGGCGACGAGCATTCTTAAGTAGAATGAATCTGTTCAAACTAATCACCCCAATGTGTCTTAACTGTGTTGACATAAGAAAGGAAAACAAGTGCACTTGTCTGGGAAAACTGTAGCTGAGCCCGCAATTAGAAGAGACATTAAAATAGATGTTTTTTCAGACAATCATATAGAAACTATAAGTGCAGAAAAGGGCTATCCTCAAGCAAGATTAGACTGTTAAGTGGAATAATTCAGAGCAAGTATCAACACAGCAATGATTAACAGGTACAAAAACAGAAATTACTGAAGAACCACAGCAGGTCTGGCAGCTTCTCTCTACAGATGCTACCAGACCTGCTGAGTTTTTCCAGCAATCTCAGCTTTTCTTTCAGATTTCCAGCATCCACAGGTCTTTGGGTTTTTTTTTTAAGGATAGCAGACAGATAGCTAGAACAGAGCTGAATGCAGTTTCAAAGCTGTCTTATTATTATTATTTGTCCTAGGATGGGCAACTATATTATTTCTGTACTTTGATTTTGCTATTCTGTTAATGAAACCGTTAGAAATGTTTTGATGGCATGAGTTTTGTTAACTATTATCCAAGGCACAAGATTATTATCTTTAGAGACAACAGAACACAGCCCACATTTTGCACTTGTTTGTTGCTGTGAAAAAATTGATATTGTTGCAGATAGATAACAGAAAAGGGATCAATATTGGGCCCCAGGCCACATCACAAGTCATACCTACACAACCGAAGCAGCCATCCATCTGCTTTCGTTCTTCTTTCTATCCTTCAACTATCCCTTTCACATGTCATCACAACGTTTTGAACAAAAATGTTTCTGAAATTTCGCTGCATTGAAAACATTTGAGGGTGTTCACCACGGTTCAACAAACAGTGGGCCAACAGGAGATGGACTGAAATTTAAATAAGTGCAGTGACGCATCCAATACTCTCTCTGGGTGACAATGCCAGTGCACAATGCCTCAAATTTAAAGAGACCATTAGAGATTGAATTTTGGGTTGAAAATGAAGAGCTTCAGAAGTTTGTCATAATTTAACCGTGCTCCCTCCCCCACCCCACACATTGCATTCTTTAAGTTATTTCTTATTAAAACCTATTTGTACATTTTTGAATATACCAAGACAATTCCCTTTGTGACATTCACTTGCTCAGTTACATTCTGATCGACCTGATTATAGCCAGTGTAAAGCTAATGGCCTCTCTTTTCCTTCTGAATTTTTGTGGTGTTTTCCAAGGATCCAACTTGGGTCTTCTCCTAGTTCTCAGTTACATCCTGTCCCTTCGTGACATCATGGAAATAAAGATATTCATTTTCACATGTGTATCGATGACACCCAGTTCTACCTCATTCACCATGTCTTTTGACTCTTCCTTGTTGCTAAATGATCAGTCTACTTGCAGTAGTCAGCACACATTCAGAAGAAAATCCCTGCAATTAAATATTGGGATGACACTAAAGTTATTGTCTTTGGTTATTTTGGCACCTCAATTCTCTAGCTATCAATTCTATCCCTCTTCCCGGTAACTGACAGAGACTGAACTATGCTTTTTGCAACCTTGATGTCGTATTTAACCCCAAGAGGGGTTCCCTACCACCTCGATTTGATTTGATTTGATTTGCTTTAAACTTTATTGTCTTGTGTACTCAAGTACAGAAGTACAGGAGTAGGAGTGAAAAGTGTACAACATCACCACACATGGCGCCATCTTAGGTAGGAAGGTACCTAGGTACAAAACTTAGGTACAAGTGGTAACATAGAGAAGCAAAATTGAAAGTAAAATGTTACCACTGTTCTTAATATAAGTAGAAAAATAAAGAAATAAACTTAAAACTTAACATTACAGTTCTTCCTAGCATTAAGTGGAACAATAAAGTGATAAAGGTAAAGGTTCAACAACCTTTCTTAAGCACACTCCCTGCAAGGGCTCGGTCTCCTCCTCTTTGGCCTGTTCTCCGGGAAACCTCCGGCTTCCCGCTTTCGACACCGCAGATGCTGGGGGTCCTCTCTCAGCAACACTTCAGGCCTGCTCTAACCACGTTGGGTTCAGGCCCAAAGCCCTTCCCTGCTTCGGACTTCCAGCCGACACAGCTCCAGGCCCTCAGCCGCTACCAAGCTCCCCCCCACCCCACCCTTCCCCCATGCCATCAGTGCTGCCGCCTCTCTCTCCAGAACTCCAGAAGGTAAGTAAAAAATGACAAGGGGAGAGAAGGAAAAGAAAGAATGCAACAGGCCTGGATTGGACAGGCGTGCTGTGCCGGTGCCGCCATCTTGAATAGCTGGCTCGCACTCTCCTGCTACCGCTGCCTTAAAAGGCCTCAATTCCTTTCACTTTCCTTGTCTTTCTCCCTAACCGTGCATTTTCCTGCACAGCTTTCCAAACTTGGACAAGAGTCAATGTCACATGGCTGCAAATTGAGTTGGACCTCACCACGCCATCACTAAGACTGCCCATTTTCACCTCCGCAGCATCACCAAACACTATCCTTGCCTCAACCCAACTGTCCTTCATCTGTCCCGATCATTTCTCGACTTAACCATTCCAGCGCACCGCTGGCCAGCCTCCTACATTCTACCCTTTGCAAACTTGAGTTCATCCAAAATGCTGCTGTCCATGTACTTACTCAGGCCAAGTCCTTTTCACCCATTCCCCCACCCTTTGTTTTCTGAATTACACTGCCTCACAGCGAAGATGTACCTCAATTTTAAGATTCTCCTCCTTGTTTCCAAATCCATCTAATGTCGCACCTGTCCTTATCCCCATAATCATTCCAGCTGTGAGATATCTGTGATTCTGACATCTTCAGCATCCAATATTCTCACTGGTCCACTAACAGTTGGTTGTGCCTTCTGTAGTGATTGGAATGAGGTCAACCAGGTGGACCTCATAAGAATATGAGTTCCCTGATTAGGGGTGTTAACCTGGTCCAATCAGGGAGCCCTGGCTGAAAGATATAAACAGGAGTGTCAGAGGATCTGTTCACTCTCAGAGCCAGCTCTGAGCTAGCTGGGTCAGTGTCATGTACTATGCATGTATAAATAAAGGGTGACTTGGTGACGGGATACTGGAGTTAGTTCATCTTCAATTACCTAAGTGCTAAACTCTGGAATCCCCTCCATAGATTTGTCTAATCTCGCTCCCTCAGATTTTCTTTGATAATACACTCGATAAAGACTACAACTGGATCAAGATTTTGTTCATTGCCAAAACAATTTTTTGTGTGACTTGGTGTCAAATTTAGCTTGATAATGCTCCTGTGAAGTAGCTTTGGATGCTTTATTGCTTTAAAGGCACTGTGTAAATAGAATTTGTTCCTGTTATAATACGAATAATGGCTAGTGAGAATGTTGTTTCAGGGCGCATCTGTTTAATAGGCAGTGATATCTGCAATAGTACATCAGGGCTGCTATTACTTATGTATCAGCTGACTGCAGATTGTGCAACATTTAGTTAATGTTATAATGTATTAAAGTGGGATCAGGGTGATGGCTCCTCCTTCTCTCTTAAGAAGAAAGCCATAGAAGTCTACAACATATCAGGTGAGCAGCACAATGCAATTCATCCCAGTAAGGGGTAAACCAAGCAAGACAAACAACACTGAAACGAGTCAGCATTAGGCACTGGTACCAAAGCATTAATTGTTCCTTTCCACAAGACATACACAAGGCAA